CTCTGAAGCCCAGTGGCTTCCAGACTCCAGGAGACCGGGCCCTGAGTGGTGGGTGGTGTCCTGGTATTGTTTTAGAGATTTAACCTGGCCCCTGTTTACTGCATCACTGAAGTTCATGACACGGGTCGTTGGGACTGTAGTTAGAGAGGGTGTCTGTGCTAGGGTAGGATCTCACAGCAGGTTTTCAGATGAAGAGGCAGAGGGATCACGTGGTAGAGGAGCCGTGGTAGACGCAGGAAGTCTTTGTAGCGGTGATGTAGTTTTCCACAGGTGTTGGTAAACTAACCACAACACCTGTGGTGCAGAGGTATCCTTTGCCTTAAAGCTTAGTATTTAAAGGCAAGTTGTAACCAGCCCCAAGGCAGCTATTGAAACTAATTAGGAACCAGTTAGATCTGCTTTGAGCTCAGTGGGTATTTGTGGGTTCTGGAAAATTCTCCAAAGAAAGGAGTTACTGTAATTAGAAGAAGGTCATTGTAGTTACTTAGAAATGCATGGTCTGAAGCCTGTTGCCATCTGTAGAGATGGGTGCTGAAGGGAGGCCTGGGCTGGCACAGGAGGCAGCGTCCCTTTTCCCTGGGCAGAGCTGCCGAGAGGACTGTCTTAGCTGGGGCACCCCCACAGGCAGCTGAAACCACGAAAATCACCGTCTGTCCTGAGAGGTGAAATTGGGGTATTTAGTATAAATCACCACACAAGAAAACTCACTTGTATTTCCTTTTCCCCAACTCCCCAAAAAAGTTTATAGGCATACATTAAACTGCAGAGTATTTGGGTGTTTCACTGAAAACTTCCTGCTTTGCATTCATCTAGCAATATCTGTATGTTTTTCTCCAAATCTGTCTTAGCCTTTTGTTTCTTTCAATCTTGTGTTCTACCACTGACATTTTTAATCTATTGAAATAAATATTTTGAAATTCTTATCTCTGCACTCATTACTATTCATATACATTTTCTTTTTCTAAAATAAAACACTTATTTGGTAGTGGTTGAGAGTGAGAGAAAGCACTGTTATTTGCTGGTTCACTGCCCAGATGCTTGCAACATCGAGGGCTGAGCCAGGAGCCAGGAACTCTGTATCTCCTACATGGATGGCTGGGACCCAGCTACTGGAGCCATCACAGCTGCACTCCAGGGTCTGTCCCAGCAGGAAGCTGAAATTGGGAGCCAGAATACCATTAAAATGGTTTGTTTTTTAAAATCTTTATTTGAGGGCCTGGTGCCATGACCTAGTGGCTAAAGTCCTCACCTTGAACATACCCGGATCCCATATGGGCGCCGGTTCTTCTCCTGACAGCTCCACTTCCCATCCAGCTCCCTGCTTGTGGCCTGGGAAAGCAGTCGGGATGGCCCAAAGCCTTGGGACCCTGTACTCACGTGAGAGACCTGGAAGAGCTCCTGGCTTCGGATTGGCGCAGCACCAGCCATTGTGCTCACTTGGGGAGTGAATCACCGGATGGAAGATATTTCTCTCTGTCTCCTCCTCTCTCTATATATCTGACTTTGCAATAAAAATCATCTTTAAAAAAATCTTTATTTGAAAAGCATTGTGACAGGTAAGAGAGGGAGGAGGACAAACACAGACTCAGAGTGAGAAGTAGTGAGGAGAGGGAGGGGATATGAGTGTGACTGAATAAAGCAGCACGAGTTCCTGCTGGCTCGCTCAGCCAGTGGCTGCAGCGGTGAGGGCTGGGCAGGGCCGGAGCCGGCGCCAGGATCTTCCGCCTGGTCTCTCACACAGGCAGCAGGAGCTTCCACTGCTTTCCTGGGCGCACGAGCCAGAGCTGCACTGGAAGAGGAGCAGCTGGCATTCCTGTCAGACTGCCAGGCTCAGCAAGGGGCAGCTGAAGTTGTGCGCCACAGCTCTGGCCCCTGACTTTCTTGCTCTTCTGTTACTTGTTTTCTAAAAACTGAAGAGGTGTTTTTTTGTTTGTTTGTTTGTTTACTCGGGGGTAGGCTTTAAAATATTTTATAAGTCCTCTGGGTTTGATTTGATAATGTTCTCATCATCTCACAGAAACTACTCAATCAGTTACCGTCTTATTTTCCCATACTCAAGAAAATCAGTACAAAAGAGAATGAAATGATGTTCGTTGTCCATTGTTGTTAGTGGCGCCACTAAATTGGTACCAGGCTTTCAATGGTTTGGGTGCTATTTTTTTTTTTTAAAGATTTATTCTTCTTGGAAAGGCATATTTGGACAGAGAGAAGAAGGCACAGAGAAAGATCTTCCATTGGGTGGTTCACTCTCCAAATGGCTGGACTGGCTAGAGCTGATCTGATCTTATCTGAAACCAGGAGCCAGGAACCTCTTCCTGGTCAACCATGTGAGTACAGGGTTGCAGGATCCCTCCCATATGGGCACTGGTTCATGGTCTAGCTGCTCCACAGCCTCTCTATAAATATGCCTTTTCTATGGTGCTGGCATCCTATATGGGTGCCAGTTCGGGTCCAGGTGTTCCACTTCCTGTCCAGCTCCCTGCTGTGGCCTGAGAAAGCAGTGCAGGACAGCCCAGAGCCCTGGAATGCTTCACCTGCTTGGGAGACCCGGAAGAGGCTCTGTTGTCAACTGCGGATCAGCTCACTCCCGTGGTTGCAGCCTTTTGGAGAGTGAACCAATGGATGGAAGATCTCTTGTCTCTTTTTCTCCCCCTCTCTCTGTAACTCAAGTAATAATAAATACTGCTTATCTTAAAAACAGTAGATCCAATAAACATTTTATATTTTATGAAAAATTAACCTTTCCATGAAACTGAAGCAGTTAATAACAAGTGTATTTTATATGTTGGCAGTTGTTTTTAGTGTTGAACTTGTTAAATGATGGCTGTATTCTCAGTATTGCTTCTGCCTTGAAGCTCTTGTGATGTTTTTATTGACATGTGTAGAGATGCACAATTGGAAAAGAAATGGAATGTTTTGATAGTCTTTTTCTTATAGTCATAGCTATTTTTCTTTACTGTTATATCAGTTCAACAAAAGTCACTTAAGGGTTAGTTGAAATATAGAATTTAAAATGGCATCAGTTTTTCATGCTTGGTTGGTCTTGCATGTTGAATAGATCTCAATTTCAATCTAAGCTTGTCACGTATTGCTGAAACATAACTCCCATGTTTGGGGACTTTATGAAGCAAATAAATGTGTTCAGCTGACAGTTTATAGATTGAAAGTTTAAGTTAACCTCTTTGAGGTCTTTGTGGCAGATGGTGTTGCAGTGGCTTGTGTGAAGAACGCTGTTCAGTGAGCAGGAAGCCAGAGACATGCGCGGTCGGCTCCCTCGCACCGTGCCAGTCCCCTCTGACTAGATCCTAGTGCTTGAAGGTTCACCGCCTTGCATCACTACTGTCCTGTGGACCAGGCTTCCAGGGTAGGAACCGTGTGGGGACAAGCTCCGTACACACCATAGCTGTGCTCCACGAAGTTCGAAAGAAACAGTTCAGAACTGCGTAATGGTGCACATTGCTCTCATTGCCAAGAAATGAGTTTAAGAGTGTTGGGAGCAGTCACACTGAGAATGACGATGCTGGCTTGCTCTGAATCCTAATTTTTGACTGGAAAGCTCATCTTTTATCATTGGCAATAAATGCTATCAATTGTTTCCCTTACAGTAGCAGATTTACTTTGTTCAAGGAAATGTCTGCCAAATTCCCAAGCCAGAATAACCCTAATTTGTTATTCATTCTTTCCAGTAACCATGGTATACCATGAAAAAAGCAGCTAGGTCAGCTTGCAAGTTAAAGTACAACACACAACACTTTTCCTTAGGATGAGCGTGATGCTTCGTTGGTTTACGGGCGGACTTGATGGGGACTTGCTGTTCTGGAGCACAGATTAAGATATTTTGCACATTGGTAATTTGTTCTACGGCACCAAGGGCACTTACAAAGTGGTACCAATGGTACCTTGTTCCTGTCGAAAGAGAAAAGTGCGACCCACTGCTGCTGTCACATCATTGATCCAAGAAAGGCAGGTGATGTCCTGGTACTGTGAAGGTGGCTTTGATCATGGGATTTTGCTGGGACTTGATCCCCACAGGCCAGTGATTCTCACAGCCTTGTTTCCTGGCCTGCAGCTCTGCCCTACCCCTTCAGTGGCCAGGTCCTTAAGGCTTCCTTGGAAGGTGGAAGGTGGGGCAATTAGGGACAGAGTCTGCTAGTGTTGCTGGAAGATGTGCTTCAGGTCTGGGCAGGCAGGTGAAGAGAAGAAGGGGATTTGCTGGGGAATGATGCTCTAGCATTTTATTGCTAGGATACTGTAGAAGCTGAGGCTAGAGCTGTGCTGCTGTGGCCCATTTGCAGTCAGGGATGGAATGCCTTTGGTGTTTTGTGGCCCTGGGTGTGTCTACTGATAGTAAGGAAGTCAATTTCAGGCCTGAGCCCTTTAAATCTTTTTCTTCTTTTGGACATTTATTTCTGAGTCAGCTCCGTCTGCTGGTTCAGTGCCACAGTGCTTGTGGTGTGTGTGCAGGGTGGAGGGTTGTGGTGTAGTGTGAAGCTATTGAAATTGGAACACAGTCCAGGTCACACTCACAGGAGCCCATTGCGTTGGCCATGCCTGCTTCCTCCTAGAGTGTGCGTGAACAGAAAGTTAGATCTGAGCAAAGCTGAGCTCAAACCCAGGTCCTTAAGTGTGGACTATGGAGTTGTTAGGCAGCATGCTGAATGGCTACGCTCCATCTCCTCTGGAGAGGGTCTCGTCTCGTGAATAACCCTGGCCTTGGAGGGTGAAATCACACATGCAGAACTCAGAGGTTCAGAAAGGACTGCGTGGTAGGCAAGAAGTGCAATACAATGTAAACAGTAGTCAAATCACTGAAATCATTCATTCTGAAAATCAATGGGGAGTATCTCTTGCTACTTCTATTTTCCAATCATTAGCTCCATGCAGTTGATGTAAGGGTAAAGATGGGTCTCCAATTCCAATTATGCCAACTGTTCTGCTAGAAACTGTATATTTTAGAATTGTAAAATTCTTCTATTTTTATATCCTTTTTTGTTTTACAGATTTGTAAGGCTCCAGAGCCTTCAAGCTGTGATTAATCGGATGGTTCCTGAAGTTGCTTAGAGAATAGTCGCCTCGTGTGCCGTTTGAAGAGTGTGTATCCATGTATGTTTAAGACCTTCTGTACAAGCGTGTTTACTGAAGAAGACCGTCTCATCTTGTACACACTTGAGTTTCACAACTTAGAAAAATTAAGAAATAGATGGAGCAACTTGACACCACGAGGCTCCAGAGCTCTGGGAGAAAAATGCATCACTAACAGCCAGTTTTCCTCATGGTCTTCACGGGTAAAGAAAGTTTGCAAAAAGAAGAAAAAAATTGTACAGGTTAAGCCTCGAAAATACCTCTCTAGTTTAAAGACAGAGCTCAGTAGGAAGGTGACAGGGAGGAGTGTGACTGCAGACACTGCACGCGGGATTGCCAAGTGTCTCCTGCACTTTATTTTTTAGTAGGTTTGGTCATTCAGTTAGAGTTTAGAATTCTGGACTGGAAAGTGACTGTTACTGGTTATGGCTGGAACAGAGCAAGTTTAGGTGTGATGGGACAGGTCTGAACAGTGAACTGATTCCTGTGCTTTTTTTAATTAATTGTATTTGAGGCATTTTAATTTATCATTTCCCCTTTCCTTTCTTGCATCTATACGATATTATCTTAGAAGAGCAATTGAAACGTGTAAGTACAAGTAAATCTCCAGGAAAATCCTAGCAAAGCTTCTTTTTCCTTCCAGTCGTGTCGTTTGGCAGCAGCAGTCTCTGAAGGTGAAGGGAAAGTGGCTGTCAGCATTGGGTGGTCCCCGCCGCTGGCTTGCCTGCGTGGTTGAAGGCCTTGCCCTCCCTCCCCCGGGTGGAGTCCAAGCAGGATTGCGCATGAGGCAAAGATTTCTTGATGGACTCTCTGAGATTTGTTATTTTAGAAAGACAGAAAAATACGTGATCTTTAGGAGCAGAAAAGGGAAGAAGTAACTGGGGAGTGAGAAAGAACTCTTTAAAAGATCGAAGTCGTGTGCAGTGTGTTCCTGTTTTGTCAGCAAGTGGATATACGACTCGTCCTTGGCAAACCTTCGTGCCACTTCCTAGCTTTGGTACCTCGACTCTGGCCAGCAAAGGGGCTTTTTCCAGGCTCCATGGCACCCAGGGGTGCCCTGGCTGGCAGAGTTGTCCGAGAGAACCTGCAATACTTGGGGATACAGGGCCAGAAAGGGTCTGGTTTTGAGCAGTGAGGAAAGAATACTTTTTTCCTGAACTTTGGACTGCTGTCTGCATGAATTCTGGTCTGTTTTGCACAGTTTGTGTGCCTTTTTTTCCCTTTATGCAATCTTTTTCAGCTTTAGCAGCGGAAATTTGTCCAGAAAACATGCCAGAGGCTGGCTTCAGAAGGAAGTTGATGAGCCCGTGCGCTCTGTCTCTGCATCCAAACTTTGGAATAGAGAATTCCAGCTAGAGGGATTCTTAAAGCCTTAAGTTACTTGAAATCTATGTATTTGCAACCTGTTGTCTCTGGAATCATATTATACTAAACTGGAATCTCAGGCTGAGTGAGAATAACCCAAGTTGAGTAAAAAGGGGAGAACCGTTCCTTGATCGCCAGTGACCGATGATGCTCTTTCCCCAAAGGATCAGCGTGTTCTTCCCTTAAGGACTTGAACCTAAAAACGGACCACACTTTTTTTAAGCATTACCTTTTCTTAGCAGACTGCCATCATCTTTTATAGAGGAATTTTTTCACTATGCATTTGGTGGATCTTTATAAAATGCTGACCTTCTAACTAAATCCAGGTCAGTGTCAAGTAAAGGGGACAAAGGCAACGGAAGCCAGGCACAGTACAAGTAAACAAGCCAATGAAAGACATTGGTTTGAATTCTCCAGCATTAAGCATTATTTTAAAACTAAAACAGTACATTGGGAAAAAGTATGTATGCAGCGGTGGAACATGGACCTGTGCTCTGCAGCGACTCCAACATCCTCTGCCTGTCCTGGAAGGGACGTGTCCCCAAGAGCGAGAAGGAGAAACCGGTGTGCAGGAGGCGCTACTACGAGGAGGGCTGGCTGGCCACTGGCAATGGGCGGGGCGTGGTAGGCGTGACCTTCACCTCCAGCCACTGCCGCAAGGACCGGAGTACACCACAGAGGATAAACTTCAACCTGCGGGGCCACAACAGTGAGGTGAGCTGTGGTTTTGTGTCATGGGGTGGCTTGTCATGCCCACAGTCTGGGGCCTGGACACCTGCCCTGCTTCAGTTTCTTAGACTTGACGCTGGTGAGACCTCAGCCTAGGGCCTGTGTGTCCTGTGCCGCTACAGGATGCTCAATGCCAGGCCCTGCCCGTGTGAGTCCTTTGTCTCTGCCCCCTTCCCTCCTGCCTGTGACAGTTGCACAGCGGTGGAGTCTGCAGCAGGTAGTGGTTGGTGCTTTTTGAGTTAGGTGGTCTCAGCCAGATTTTCATACTCCAGGGCAGTCTCCCTGGTATACAGCCAACCCATGGGATGGAGAGAAAAGAGTGATGCCCTCGCCTTGCCCACTAAGCACCCATGTGTCTTTGATGATGACTAAACCCTTGGCTTGTATTTCTGTAGGGTATTATGTATGTGTACTATGATTTCTCTGGTTTTCTAAAGCATAAATAGCAGCATTATCTGTGAAATTTATTCAATCAACACTTAGTGAGCAAACGTTAGCAGCTGTGTTGAAAAGAAGAGCATGATTGATAATTTCTCTCAAACATTTATTTGTTAAGAGCACCCTGCTGGTATTCACATTTCATCCCTCACTAGCTGCTTGTGTACTTTCTGAGGAAATGATGACTATTGAAGGCATCTTAAAAATGGCACTTGATGGTTATTAACTATTACAAAGGAGCAAGAGTATGTTTGAATCTTGTCTTAGCAAATTTGGGTGACCATAACCAAGTGGGTGGTTTATAAATGTTACGAATTCGTTTCTCACGGACTGGGAGTCTGTAAGTCAGTGAGCCAGGGAGTCAGCATGCTGGGGTTCTGCTCAACACCTCTTGGTGATGACTTCTTGGGCAGAAGGTGAGGGTCTCTTTGAAACCACTTCTATGAGGGGGGCACTGACCCATCCATGAGGGTCCTGGTCTAAAGACCCCCACCTCCTAACACCATCACCTTGGAGGGGGTTAAGATTTTAATGCCTGGATTTTGACAACAGCAATGTAACTCCAGTCCTAACTGCAATTGCTTATTGATGTTCCAGCTAAACCAAGGTGAGAATATTTCCAACACCCACTAAGTACAGCAGTATTCCTTCCCAAGCTGGACACCTTAGGTCCATTCTTGCTGTGGTAATGAAATTCCTTAGACAACTGAAGTTTCTCGTTCACAGTTCAAGGCCCTGGCCCATTTGGTGTCCAGCAAGTCCTCTGTACTGCACGTAGCACTTTGTTGCTGCATTGTCATTTGGCAGAGGGGTGGAGAGCTCGCTCAGGACTTCGTAGGGGACTGATTGCTTGCATGAAGGCAGAGCCCTCACAGTTGAGTTCCCTCCAAAGACCTCCCTTTAAATACCACCACAGTCAGGTATAGGAGCTGTACTAGTGAGTGGGCTTCTCATTACTAACCCAACAAAGGCTACTTAGGAAGCCAAGAGGTTATTTATTTATTTATTTTTAAGTTTTTTCTTTTGCAAAGTCAGATATACAGTGAGGAAGAGAGACAGAAAGGAAGATCTTCCATCTGATGATTCACTCCCCAAGTGACCACAACGGCTGGAGCTGCGCGGATCTGAAGCCAGGAGCCTAGAGCGTATTCTGGGTCTCTCACACAGGTGCAGAGTCCCAATGCTTTGGGCCATCCTCAACTGCTTTCCCAGGCCACAAGCAGGAAGCTGGGTGGGAAATTGAGCAACCAGGATTAGACCCAGCACCCATATGGGATCTCAGCATGTGCATGGCAAGGACTTTAGCTGCTAAGCTACTGCGCCAGGCCCCAAAGAGATTTTATTTGGCTCACAGTTTTAGAGGCCAGAAGTTCAGATGACTTGATCTCGGCTGTGGTGAGGGCCCCAAGGTGCGCAGGGCATGTGCTGAGAGAGGTCACAGGACAAGAAGGGAACCAGAGAGAAGCTGTGTGTTTTTAATGACTCTTGGATCTCTTCCCTAGACCCCACGTTTAAACACCCGTCATTGCCCCTCCACCAAAATCCTATATTATTAAGTCAGGGGCCAAATCAGGTTCACAACCGAGCAATTTCCAACAGTTGGAAGGAAGATGAACCTTCCAAACCATTTCACATGCCCCTCTGAGAGGTCAGCATCTTCTGAACTCTCCCTCCTTTCACTGTATGCTCTCTGTGCCTGGCTTTCCCTCAGCACGGTGTCTGTGACGTTCATCCAGGTGGTGTGTGATGTATAGGCTTTTCACTTGATGTTAAATTTCCGCTGCAGGAAGGTGACACCGTTTTTCCATTCTCCCGTCGAAGGGCATTTGGCTTGCTTCCTGTTCTTGGCTGGTCTGAGGAACTCTGTTATAAACTTTATGGGCGGGTCTCCTTGTAGACCCAAGTGCTCAAAAGATGAAAATCTTGCGTCATAGTGTCGGCGTGTTGGCATGCATTTAGGTTTAGTAGAAATGACTGAGCAGGTTTGCAAAGTGGCTGGGCCACTTTACATGCCACCACCAGTGTTGAAAGTGTTCCGTGTGAAGCCAGAGATATTGTGGGATTCTTTTTTCCAGAGTAAGTTTAATGTATTAGGATCTTCTTTTAAATTTAGATTTGTACTGTTAAAAGTTTTATTCAAGAAATTATGGTTTGTGATAGCTATATGCTTTCTTTTTTCTCTTTAAAAAAATAGTTACTTGAAAGAGTTAGAAGGAAAGAGAGACAAAGATACCTTGCATCTGGTTCACTCCCTGGATGTCTGCCATAGCCAGCTTTGCACCAGGCTGAAGGCAAGAGCCAGGAGCCTAGTCCAGGTCTTCCACATGGATGGGTGGTAGGTACCCAAGTATTTACCCATCTTCCACTACTGTCCCAGGCACATTAGCAGGGATCTGGATCAGAAGTGGAGCAGCTGGAACATGGACTGGTGCCCCATATGGGATGCTGGTGTTACAGGTGGCAGCTTTGTCCAACTTGCCACATGTGGGCGACGCTTCTGCATTTATTGCAGTGGCTTACACACGCATACACACACACACACTTTTTTAAGTGGATAATGTCTCTTTCTTTTCTTTTTTACTATATTTTTTTACAATCTTTACATAGTTAATTAGGATAAAAAGATTCAAGGGCTATAGGAAAGTGGGTAAGACTAGTATTTCCTTATTGTTTCCTTCATGTTTAAAGAGGGATATTAAGGGAGAAGCTCCACCCAGTTTCCTACCCACCCCAGGGCCCAGATGTGAGGCATGCTCTGAGATTCTTGCTCAAGTGGTTGTGATGGTTCATCAGTTATGAATCGCTGCCAATCTCGCCACTCCAAGCACGATGAGGTCCTTGAAGAATCCACTGGTTGACATAGTCCATCCTAGAGTCTCTGTTTGCCCAGTATTTCACTGCTAACATATACCTGAGGTGCTTGATTGACTTGTGTCATTTGTGCTTATCTATCCTGGTCTTCCAGGACACCAGATGGTGTTGGAGTCTGGCCTGGCTCCGTGTATCCAATCCCAGTCCACACTTGTGCCAAGGGAGACTACAACTGTTTCCTGATCAGAATGCAGTTCCCATTCCAGCCCACACGCCCCTTGGTGGGAACCTCAACCCAGCTAGGGTGTCCCCTTAGCTCCCTAACTGGGCCTGTTCCCAGCCATAGATCATGTGCATGCCACTGGCTGCTCTGACTCAGCTTGGCTCAGCCCCTCACCTGTCCCAACCTCTGCCTTAGACATTGTGGCTTAACGTTCCTGGCTCATGCAGACCAGTAGGTGCAAAAGCCTAGCTCAGCATGACCTGTGCATGACCTGTGCTCCAGCCTGATTTCTACTTTTGCTTGTGAGCTAAGGTTTGCTCAGTCCTGTCCAGTCCACCCTTTTCCATTACCAATTGACAAATTAGCCAGCTGTTGGTGCTAGTACGTCCAGCTTGTCCGACCCCCAGGTCTGGACTACATGTTCACCAGCGGGAGCTATGACTCACCAGGGGAGTTTCCCAAGTTACTCCACTTGATCCATTCCTTGGCCCAGTTCTCATACATGCCATTGGGTGTTAGGCCAGTGCCCGGTATAGTCTGGCCTTCCATTTGGCCTTGTATGAGCTGGTGAAAGTTGCATCCCAGCCCACCCCACACCCTATTCAGGATGCACATTTGGGTGCTGCTGCCTTGACCAGTCCAGACTGTTGTCAGTTCCTTTACCTGTGATCGATGGCAGGCTCCTTGATCACACCTAGCTTAGTCCATCACTACCCCAACTCTTGAGCTAACCAATGGAGCTAGAATTTCCACAGGGATTGGCCCACACATTCCCCACAGAATCTACCCCCGGAGATGGTTCTCGAGTGCTAGTTAATGTAATGACCCTGTTTAATGTGACCCTTCTCCTGACCCATCATGATATCAGGTAACAGGATATGATTCTGCTGGACAAGCCCTGAGCCATAGCTTTTGCATGGACTGGTGTTTGGTGATCAGCGTTGCTTAGTGATTACAAGCTTTTCAAAGGAAGAGTTACTGACATAGGGAATCTTTAGGATTGATTCACGTCCCAGAAGCACAGTGGGTTCAACCTTGAGCTACTTAAGCAGTGATTCAAAGAACCAAAACCCCAGAGGTCCCGGCCAGGCAGCCAACAGGTGGAGCCTGGCATCAAATGGTGCGCTGGCTGCCTGGGGACAGCTTACCATGTGCACGTGGTGGTTGGCGTCTGGGATCCAGGCATGAGACGGCCCATCCTGAGACCCACCAGCAGCCAGAAGGCTGCTGGAAGTTTAAACCCCCAGGCCTAAGGTCGTGCCCCTTGCCAATCCCATTCACTGCCCAAGAGGGCTGCGGGTGGGCCCCAGATTTGCCCAGTCACAGAGACCTCCCCCCTGGGTATACTCACCCCGAAGGGAGCAGCCCCCGGAGCCCAGGCAGGCCCGGGGACAGCTCACCACGTGCACATGGTGACTGGAGTCTGGGATCCAGGCATGAGATGCCACCAGATAATGTCTTAAAAGATGTATTTTTTTTTGTGAGTATGTAACAAGCGGTCACAACTTAAAGT